AAGCGTGAATAACCCTACTCCACTTGTAAAATGCTTGCTTTTTTGCAAGTGGAACGTGTCGGACAACATGCAGAAGAACCGGGTGTGACAGACGGAGCCGTGTCTGGCTGAACGCACCTCACGCCAAATCGGAGTTCGAAAGAAACCAGCACCCGGCATTTGTAGCTTTTAATGCTTTTCGTGGGCAATTGTCATGGAGCAGGAAGAAGACTGAGGCACAAATGCTTGGAGAGAAAAGCTTCCATACACCAACACTGACAGAACAATGTTAATTTCTAAGACTCCTGTTATTTTAATTTTCAGATTTCAGGGATGGAAGGGTGGTGCGTTTTCACTTATGTTTACATTTTGCAATCTGTAAAACGAGCTTTTTCTAACACCAGATATTTAGGGCTCGTTTGGAGCTGAAGCTGCAACTTAAAATTGCTGTGAATATTTAGGTGACTGCACTTCCACTTCTCTAGTATTATTTGTCAGTGAATTACCATGGTTTTTCACACTGAAGCACCTCGAGTTGAATGGCGGATTCCCACGTGTGTGGTTTGCTGCTACAGACTCAATGACAGAGTCAATGCTCATTCATTGCAAAACGCAGGTGAAACTCGGGAAAGATCATTTTCCAGCTCGGAGCTATTATACGAAAGACCTATAACAACTAAAATGAATAAGGACAAACAAACCCCCAATCATTCTGTAGAGCAAGAACCCATTTGCCTTCTTTAATATAACACAATCCATCGACCTCCTAGGACTAGCTCTTGTTGTGATAAAATCTTCTGGGTTTGGGACTATTTTACAGAAAATCTGCAATGAACAGAATTTGTTCAAGCTCCAGTCCCTCTGGCTATCATCATAAAGTAGGAGGAAAAACAGCTTTTACAAAATAAAACAAGAAAAGTACACTCCACCTGAGTTGCCAAGAGTGGCTTATAACTCTGCCCTGGCGACACGGCACAACCGCCATGGCACCGCACAGTTTTCAAGCTACTCCACTGAGGTAGAACAATAATACATAAATAAAAAGGGGGTGTTTAGCTAAATTGGGTTCTGTATCACCAAGAAATGGGTCGTAAAAGCACAAGTATTATTCAGCACTTCCAGTCTAATGACAACAGCACGCTCATTCACTCAATACTACTGGTTTATCCAGTTTTTCTACAACTGAGCTTGTTGAACCACCTTAAAGTTAATTCCTTTTATTCACGTATTCTAAGAGACTGAAGGAGAACTTCTGAGCTCTGAAAGAGGTTTATTTCCTATGCTTCATAATTCTGGACATTCAGAAATAAAGCTACGGACTAATTTCTAATCTACAAAGGATAGGAACATCGCATTGCCACACGCCATAAGGAATACTTGACAATTTTATTTTGAGGAATCCTTTCAGGATTTTGGAAGGTTTGTTTTGCGAGTTTTTTTTAATAATCTTCAACCATGCTTATAGCTACACTAATACACATTTCTCAATAAACTGTTATTGCCAGATATCGCCACAGGATGTGACCAAAAATTAAAGAGAGCTTTAAAACTTGTCTTAGTAAAAATGAAGCTTTCATTAGTGAAATTTTCACATAAATTTTCTGTACATATGTATTGCAACAGGTCCTAAGTTATTAACTACCTTTTGCCACCTTTTTACCAGTACATGCCCCCTTTACATTTTTGTTTGCTGGTTTCTGTGGTTGCACACACCTTTCTGCATCTTGGAATGCAGAACAAACTCACTGAAATATGATTTACTCTCTTACAGAAAGGGAAAAGAAAGTATATCAACACGAAGAAAATCTGTATTTTATCAAAACCTTTAAAGGAAATCATACCAAAAATTTGATGCAAAAAAAAAACCAACAAACCAAAACCAGCCCAAATGCAAAACTACCAAGAAAGGCTGTTTAAGTAAGCATGTCAGTTCTGCATGTAATTCCTCAGACATGATTTTCACCTTGCTGCAGGGGCAAAGACAATCAGCAGAAGGAGATGAAGCACTATATATTCAACATTTTTGCAGCTTTTTAACCGAAAACTCAGAGTCACCAGTAGCACCTGGCACCTGCACGACAGCCTACGTAGGTCAGGTCATGGGATCAGGGACACCTTAGGGGCATAAACCCATGGATGCTCATAAAGCAAGAAGTGATCAAAAGCCAGGGTTTGTCCCGGGAGCCGCAGTCAGAACCTTGGTCTGACCCAAGCTTCAGCAACTCATTGCACCCTGTCATGTACTGACATCAGCCACAAATTTCAGCCCTGTTTCCATCTCTGCCTCCGTGCTAGCTGTTGGTACAGGAACGTATTTGTAACACAGAAAAAGAAAATAAAAGTATTAAGTGAAAACAAGCCTGTGACAAGCAGAAATCAGCAATGTGGGCCATGGAGCCCCACAAATGTCTTGAAGGATCACCACACAACTTCCTTCTCTTCCTACGTCTACCAGATCACCAAGCTCCTTGCGCTCGTGGTTTTGGAGGAATTCAAGACGAAAAGTGCAATACAGAAACCAAAGTGTGTTTTAAAAAGAAGTGTTCTTAATTTCTTTTTTTGAGTGATGCTAAGCATTTTGTCTTTGTCCTGAGTTATCTACAGAATTCAGACTGCTGTAGACAGGCGGGTGTGCAGAGAAAAGATGAGAAATGTAAATGTTTGATATTAGGAAGGTCACGAGATTTCCATAAGATAAAGAAGCAATACATTATTTAGTACCCCTACAAACTGTTCAAACAGATCATTAGATTAATTCTCGCCACATCCATTTAGTATTTTCTGAATTTTGCACTACAGGTTAAAATATATCTGTGTAAAATACATACTGGGTGAGAAATGATCAAACCTGGCTTCACTTGTCAGTATTATCTGAATGTTCAAACTACTTTATTTTTTTTAAACATTTAACATGACTTTTACAACTGAAGATATCATCATAGAATCATAGAGTGGCCTAGGCTGGAAGGGACCTTAGATATGACATTCTCTGGGGCATTAAGCAAATTTATTTTGATAGAGAGATTAAATGCTCGGATTTTCTTTGAAGAAAACTTGGAAAAAAATCAGATTAGGTTGGAAGTATAAAACTCATGTTTTGTGACTGCAATAAAAATACCTTTAGAAACAGATACTATCAATCTATTTTCTCATCCTTTAGAATTAAAGACTGATTTTTCCTGCAGCAGTATGCCTGCGCTGAAAATTAAAAATGCATAGAAGAACTAATTATGAAGTATTTTATATATTCTCTTTTCCCACCCACAAATAACTGGCACAGAATGAACGAACTCAAAGCATAGAGGTAAATAAACTAATTTAAAATTTACTGCATTGTGGGGAAAAGGAATGTATTCCCAGCAACTTTTTCAGAGCCTGCAGAACTCGGTATATTACAAAAAAGGCTCTGTTTATTGTCCAGCCTATTTTAGCGAGAGTCTACTGTCAGTAGAGGACTGATTCGCTCTCTGTAGATGTAGAAAAACATCTCATTTAAAAAAAAAAGAAAAGAAGTCACTGTTATAGGAGTTGATGATTTTTTTTCCTTCCTTTCTCGCAGCACACCACTGACTTTTCCATCTGACAGACAAGTAGAACTTTATAGTGGCAACACATTACTTTTCCTGAGAAGCGCTATTGATATAGAATTCAAACAACACTCCTGATAGCATAGGTTCCCAGATAGGAAACTCTGCAGATACCTCCTGTGACGCACACACCGTCTGACCCACATCAACAGCCCAGCCTGGGGGAGAGAGGGGCCAAGGGTATCTCAGCTGGCCCTGACAGGCAAAACACGCCCCGGTCCCCTGGGTACCTGAGCTGGCTTCTGCCGGGAGTGATGCTCCTCTGGCGAGTAGGTGAAGGCGAGTAGCGCCCTTGGGGAAGAACTGCCTCCCTTACCACGTGCATTAAAAGCCACAGTGGCGTGTGGCACAGAGCTGCTGACAAAGCCTGTTCTCAGGAGCCAAAGGCAGCGTCTCGAGGCTGCTGGATGCCCAGGCGCCAGGACTGCGTGAAGCTGGTGCTCACTTGAACCACCCACCATTTGCCACTTCCTACCACGTAATTTAAGGGGAAGCTTTTCAGCGGGCTGAGCAGGCCTTGCCCGCTGTATTTAAGTGCAGAGCGTTTCCGTGCTGGGCTAGGGTGATCTCCAGTTCAGAAGCTGAGGGCTGGAATTTTGGAGTAGTCGTGTGTGCTCCCCTCACTCCCTCTCCATTTTGGCTCCAGACTTCATGCATTCACAAGTCTTAACACTTTCAGCTTTGCACGACTCACTTTCAGGTAACAGGGAAAGGTTAGCATCAGTTCACGTAGCCAAAACTCTAGTAACTACTGGCAATAGGCAAATTATCCGCTCGGATGCTGAGCTCTGGGTAATACCAGATTTTACATGGCTCCGATTCTAACGTGCTTTTTCTCTATTAGAGTCAGCTTTCACCATCAAATCCTTTCTCTCGTTCTGGTTTTGCCACAGCTTTAACAGCCGATGTGTAAAGTTTGTGGTACACGAAGAGCACAACGTGGTGCTATTTCAGCCCTGAGTAGGATCCTCCCCAAAAGCCAATGACTGCATGGAACAAGCCTGCCAGACGCCCGTCCCTCCTCCCTCTTACATACCAAACACCTTTTTAACAGCTTTTTGTCTAGGGCGATTGTCAGATACCTCGTAAAATTGTTCCCCACGAACCTGTTACCCATCCGCTGCTCGACATTTTGCAGAACCTGGCTGGGTTTGTGGCTGCGGAGCAGAGATCCGACGCGCTCCGAACGCTGCTGAGCCCCGTCTGCTCCGCGGCAAGCCCGGCACCGTCCCCGCTCCGCAGAAGCCGTCTATTGTGGTTTAATTAGCGGCAACCCCAGCCTTGGGGGAAGCGTGAGATTTCACTTCGCTCCCTACGCCAACGGCTCCGAGGCGGGAAGGCAAGAAGGACCCCGAGCCCCCAGACTCGCCCAGCACCGCAGCGCAGCGAGAGCCCCCCCCTCACCGCCCCCCGCGCAGCGCCAAGTCAACTCACAGGATCTCCAGGTCGCGCAGGGCTCGGAAGGCTCCATCTTCGATGCAGCTGATCTGGTTGTTGTCCA